AACGTTTTTGTCTCAGCAACCATTTGCATAATGCAAAAGTGCCTATTATTCAGTGCATTCATAATGAAATGTAATGGTTGCAAGTTTGTATTGAATAAAGAATAAAACGATTCTCATTTAATTATGTATCCTTCAGGACCAACAATGAGAAGGAAGTATTCGAATCTACAATATGTGCATAGATAGTTTATTCATAAATATATATTTACATACCAGTACTGCATATCTTTCATCATCTCCAGTTAATGTTTAATTAACACAGAGTACCATTTTTATGCACATCCTACTCCCAACCTAGACCTCAACTATCAAGAAGACAAACCCTAGAATATGACTGTAATGAAATATACTTTGAGGGGGGAGGGCAGAAATCTCACTCTTTTTATAGGATTTTTCATTTTAATGAGTTTTAATTATATCGATCAAACTTAAAACGAAGTTTATGCCGAATAAATGTTCAAAATCAATAAATATATTTCAATGGTTGAGATCATGAGTCAGTTGAAGCTAGACCACCATGGAATACCTGGAAGCACTGGACGGCTGTTTCGTCCTAATGTGGGACTCCTACAGGTTTTCCATGATGGTATAGCTTCAACTGACTCATGATCTCAACCATTGAAATTACTATAATATCCACAAAACTCCTTCTGAAATAAATATATCACAGAAATTATTACGAACGATTGGATAACTTATTGTAATGAATAACAACTTAAGATATGAAAATATAATCAAATCTTGGACAGAACGATTATCATTACTGAATCACTCACTTAATAAGCTTAATCCTTTGCATGTTATATCAGTTGGTTCAGTGAAAATATGAGCACTTGACAACTAAACAATAATACTATTGTGGTGTGTGCTACTAATGTCGACAGATATAAGTAGTATGTATCATTAATCGAAAGTGAAATGTCCGGAGGCAGAAGGTTAAGAAGATCGAATAAAAGTGAACGAGAACAGATAATGATTGGTGTGGAAACGAAGAGACGATCAAGTCTGAGACAATTGATTGACATTTTGCGAATGAAATATTTACTGTATGGTTCTCAGATATTCTGTAATTTTGTGTTTAAATACACTCGATTATCCCTAATTGTATTCTCGTTAACTACACTATATGCTTAAATTTGATGCGTTCCATTTCATTAAATATCTAATTACTACTTTTAACATAACAACTTCTTACCATACATTAATAATTAAAATCTCAAAAATGTAGAACTTCAAACCAGTTACACAAGCTAGCAGTTATCTGGACTCAACAGTTCAGTGAATAATGCAGTAATTGTTTAAAGTGAAAGGTGGTGAGCTCAAGTGTCAGTGCAAACATCAACATTGAGATGCATGTATATCCAGCTATCGAGTCCCAAGTACGATGAAATACGTAGGCTAAATTCTACTGCTAGCCATAATCAGTATATTCTATTTCGCCAGTTTCGTATCAAATAAACAAAACTCTGAATTACTAGTACAGGGGTTGTGGAGATTATTAAGTTTTTGATTGAGATCATGAACCGATTGATGTTAGACCACCTTTGGAAACCTGGAAGCACTGAACCGCCGTTTCGTCCTATTGTGGGACTCCTCAGCATTGCGCATCCACGGTCCAGTAGGTTAGAAGTTCGCGCGCGAGACCGAAGGCCTTGGGTTCGAATCCCGGGAGCGGGATCGTGGATGTGCACTACTGAGGAGTCCTACAATAGGACGAAATGGCCGTCCAGTGCTTCCAGATTTTCAATGGTGGTCTAACATCAATCGGTTCATGATCTCAATAATATATATATATATATATATATATATATATATATATATATATATATATATATATATATATATATATATATATATATATATATATATATATATATATATATATATATAAGGGCCAGAATTTGTTTACGTGTCTCCATACAATTAGGATGATTCATCATATTGGTTTATGCATATGAAAAGATTATTCCTATATTTCACATATAATTCCTCGGAAAAAAACAGACTCCAATGTTTATATAAAGACTTGCATAATTTTGTTTTTAATTATAGCCATCATTACCACTCCCTAATGATATAGATGTAAGCGCCATCTTAGGTTTTGTTTTCCAATTATCAGAATAAAATATATCGGAAAATTGATAAACAATAATAAGAAAACTCATGATCATTTGTCTGTAATGAAAATATAATTTGCATATTAATGCATATATTAGTTGTGGATTTATTCTTTATAACTTGTATTTAATGGTCCTTATTTAGTAGACAGGTTTCGTCAAGAGCTGATTGAATACATGACGTAAGCACTGATGATGAAAATGACACCTAGAATGGTAAAGTAATTTCCATGATTAAGGAACCGAAATTTCAGAGAACATAAAAACCAGAAAATGGTAGAAGTTGGATAATCCTTAGGAAACAAAGAGTACTGGACACTTTCCTTATTCTATCTTAGAAATCAACTCAACAAAAGAGATGGAATCAAAGACTTTTACGTCTTAAAGAGAGTATGATACTTTTCAGAACATTAAGTCGAAATGGAATGATCTAAAACATCAGCTTTACTCAATTTAAAATATACCATGTCTATATGATCATTGGATTTGTGTTGTACTCTTGCCAAAGTTGACTTCACAAGCTATGGATTAATAAAAGTATTCCGATACCTCAGCGCCACAGCTTTAACTTGTCAACATACAACCATCAACAAAATCTTAATGATTCCACAGGGAGTGCATCAAACATCTACAGGCTTGGTAAATAACTTACAGTAATAATAATTCACAAAATTCCATTTCAACAACTTTATTGTTCAAAAAGTATTATATAATCAGTATATTTGATCGAAATACAATATTTGCTTGCCAATATCCTTTTCCGAAAATTCGTTCTCAAATATTTTCAAACAAACATTTCATGAATTAAAAGTAAAGGGCTGAAATGAAAACAACTTCAAATCCTAATCTTTTTGATTACTGCTTATACTTTTACTACTTCTACCACTATGGGATTTGAATCGGCAATTGTATCTCTATGCTGCTAATGTAGTATTGTGGTGTGGGTTACTTATATCCACATAAGTAGTATATAACGGTGGTCAGGCATAGAATATATTTCAGTAAAAGTTGGAGAAGGAAAGAACGAAAACGGAACGCAGTTGGTACGAAAAGGCATGAACAATGAAATCTGAGACAATGGATTGATTTTTGCGACAGGAACAGTGAAGTTTGAGACGATGGATTGAAAATTTGCAAATTAACTATTTACTATATGTCATTATATGTGAAAATTATATTTGAAATATTCTCAGCGATTTCATGTCAATTATATTTGATTGCATCCACTCGTGTTCTTGTTCACTACAGTACGGCAATTTGAACTGATGAACGTACGTACAAAGTTCTACGTTGTTACTGACTGATCGACCTGAGAAGTACTAACACTAATGTTTAGTGATTTAATTAAGCATAAACTCCATCAAAAGCGATTCATTTTGGAAACCACTGTAATAAAATTTTTAATATTAATTTTTTTTGAAGTGTTTTAAAGTAATTATACAGCGAAGATATACAATCAAAATTGAAAACTTCATAAGTCATACTTAAATTCTATGCTTCCCTATTTTATTTATTTAAACACATAAACATTGGTACAAGAAGGCACCAAATAGATATGCACCACGTAAATCATTCGTTTTGTGTGAGGGCTGGGATATTTTCCGGGTGCCCTAACCGAAGGTGGTTTTCTTAGGGGGCCACATCCTGAAGTCTAATCCACAAGGCAGTAGAGAAACGTCGAGACGATGTCCCATGGTAGCCAATGACCAACAATTGGTTCATACGCCATTTGTCCCCTCGGGATCCTGGAGCCCATGTGCACCATTGGTTTGGAATCACGGTTTTCCAACCCCCCTAGGTAAATCCTCCATAACCCTCAACCCGGTTAAAGCGTTGGACATTCGCTTTTTGTCCTATCAATTTCGTAAACAACACCCGTGGTGCGAGAAGGCAGTGAGTAAGACTTCCCTGGCAGAGGCTATATACGCGTGGCCATGTGAGAGCATTTCGAGAGAGAGGGAGTTGACTCGCCCCACTCTCGGCTGTACAAGAGTATTTGGAGGCATTCCTCTCTATTAATCTTCAATCGCCATTCAGTTATATTCAACGTAGAACCTGATTCAATTTCTCACAACACATTAACATAAAGATATAAAACTATTAAGACAAATCTTAGAGTAGAAATAATAGTAACAGTAACCATATTACAGATCACTATGAACGATGAATCTAATCGGCCTAATCATTCTATTAAACTCATCCAAAGATCCTGTTGTAAAATAGTTTAATGAATTAACATCACTTTATTTACTGATACAAATTAATTTACACATGATTCTGAATAGATAAAAAGAGAAAAAGAAAACCTATTTTTAACACAAAAACACAACCCATTCAACAATATAAATAACTATTGTTGGCACAATTAGTACCTTTATACTTGAAAAGCTGTTTGGAAATGGAAGAAGAAAAAAAAACACAGAAGAAACAAGTGCACAAAAACAACGCACACACACACACAGGCAGGTACATTGATTAAAGTACTGAGAGATGATTAAGCGAGAGAAAATATTGCCAAGCGAATAGGTTGTTCATATTGCATCAAGAAAAATCATAATCACATCAAGTTCACTTACAAGATTATATAATACTGTCAAGATAATTGAAAATAAACATCAAAACTGGCAATGAAAAACGATATGGTAAGATAACAAGGAGAGTAAGAAAAGCCACATATGAAAAATTACAAATTATTTCAATTAGATAAATATACACATACGCACATACATACATACATACACATTCTATCACACATAAATGGGATACAAAAGAGACCTTTAAAGGGGTAAAAATTAAGGACAACAACAACAACAACAAGGAATGTTACATTTGATTTGATTGATTGATTTTTTGAATAAGGTAGATAGAAAACAGTCTTTAAAATTATGATTCAGTTTCTAAACTTGATACCCGTGATGAATTAGTGACTTTTAGAAATTCTAATAACATTTCATTTTCATTAGCTTGAATAAATTCATCATAATCCTATTGAAATATAAAAAAAGGATACATATACTGATGAAAAGGTTAATTCATGTGAATCAGAGAAATGAGTGAGTAATTTACTAAATGTAATACTTAATTCATTAATAATTCAATTTAGTCAGTCAGATACAACGTAGAACTAGGCACATATATGTATGCATCGATCCAAGTTGCCATACCTCATTAACACAACAAGATGAACACCAAATTCAGTCAGTCAGTCAGTCAGCTACAACGTAAGACCAGGCACATAAATGCATCGGTCCAAGTTGCCATACTTCATTAACACAACAAGATGGACACCGGACTCATAAAAGTAGTTTATTCAGAGGTGGTAATATATAAAAGAAAGATTGCAATAAGGATATAGTACAAAAGGAAAGAATTGGTTCGTAGAAAGAAAGATATGAAGTGATTTTAATCTCTTAGTTTAAGGGAAGACAGAGAGTGTATACACCGACGCCATTGTGGTCGATTCTGAGCCATGTCACCAAGAGTCTCCAACCATTGGTTAAGATAGTCACGCGGACCCCAACCAAGCAGTCTGCATCTACCAAATTCATAGAAGTAGTTACTTCAATGGTAGTAATATAGAAAAGAAAGATTTTGTATAAGGATATAATACAGGAAGAAAGAATTAGTTCGTAAAAAGAAAGGTTTAAAGCTATTTTAATCTCACGGTTAAAGAGAAGATAGAAGGTGTATACATTTATTTGATTGTGATCGATTCTGAAACATTTCACTCAGAGTCTCCAACCATTGGTTTCGATAGTGGCGTGGACCCCAAACCAAGTAGTCTGCGTCTACCAACATGGCTCAGACTAGAAGTTATTGACTTTATGAACTGATGTCAAGTTTTGCTTTGGCCACTTTTAACTTTCATCCGACTATTCTCAACACTAGTCAGCATTGCACATTGTGGTAATCGGTGTTCAGGCATACGTAACACGTGGCCTAACTATCTCAGTCGATGAAGATTTACAACCTAGACTGAGACATAATTGTATTAGGCTCTAACATTCATTACGACTTTCTATAGACTGGTTTTAATTGTCTTTGTTTAAAGACCTGTTATATTTACTTTAACAGTAAGAATTGATGTCATAAATGACACTTCATCAAGTTCTTATTTCTATCACTAAATTTATGTTGACGAGAACTGTGGGCAACTAAACAATTGTATGGATTTATGTCAGATCACACGCTTCTTATGAATTAATGACTAAATCATGGAGCCTTCTGCATATATAGTGTAAAGCTATGCTATTGTATGTAGAGGACGGGGGACAAAGATGTGACCCAGATATTTAGAACGAAGGATGATGATTGACGTAGTCCTGGTAACCCACTAGTTGCTTAGTTGTGTACTTAAGTAAGTCAGAAATAACTCGATATATATATATATATATATATATATAACTCGATATATTTCAGACATCCTACTGACATCATATCAAAATAAACAAGCTGCAAGAACACAAAATCGTAAGAAGATTCAAAATATAATTTTAAGTATTACTACGTGTGCATTCGAATTATAAGATAATTCACGTATCAAAAGATTAAGCATGGTTCATCAGATAGTAAATCACCCGTTAAAATAATGATGGTTTTCATATCCACTCATTATGGCGTATGATTAGAAAAGTCGTAAAATGAACTAAACATGAGATTGTGATCTCCTAAAAATGCATTAGAAATAACAAAAGAAATTCTTCTTAGGATGTTACACGTAGCCTCAATTACAATTGCGAAGGAAACAGAATTACTTTGTAACTACATGAGTATACCAAGCCTAGCAGTAAAATCCAAGATGCTCATTATGCTACATTTCGACCTATCAGTCGCATGTCTCTGCATCCTGATGTTAGTGTGTACAATGGGACTCGAACCTGCTCCTTCTCACTTTAAACCATAACGCTGTATCTACTGTACTACTAAGTCCAGATAGCTAATTTTACTAAAAACTTTTGACCAAATGGCAATATCCAGATAATCCGTTCAAGATGTATATATACAAATAAAGACAGATTAATTGCGTTTTATCAACAAAAGGAAAATAAAAACCCTTGCAAACTAATGGAAGAAAACCGAATGCGTGAAACGATTTTTCTAAAATCTTGACAACGGAAACGCGAAAATGATTGTACGAGAATGCACACTCACATTCACTGAACATAAGATCATCCAATACTTCGAAAAATTTTTACTGTTAGGATAAACATGTTCGTGGATATTTGATGTTTAAAAATAAATCAGATCGATTTCGTAAACGAATTTGTTCTCTTGAGACTTAAAACGCATTATTGTTCGTAATTCATCCCACATACTGTTAGATAGTCACAGAATCCCCTATCACTTATCAATAAACAATGGTTAGAACAAAAAGAACACTTTACTGAGACAAAGACCAGTTTCGTTGGAGGTTGCTGATTCAGTTGCTTCATTGGAGTAATTATAAGTTAGGCGTAAAGCCAGCTGATTTAAGTCAAGAGAACAATCACTATACCCCCACCCTTTTAAATAAATGAATTCAGTAATATAAGAAAACAAACACTGTATTTTTCAGTGTTAGACATAATTCCTTTTGTTTCACAAGACTGTACTTTGCAATAGTTGGCTAGCTAGAAAACAATTACAACAATAATACAATCAATTAATGGCCTACAATTACAAGATGGATAGTTTTGTGGATTAACAGTTATTATTCCAGTAAGATTTATTACGTGGAGCTCAGAGAATCACGTGACAGTGGAGCAATGCACGCATTGTAATTTCTTGCAACAAAAATCAAATTTGAGTGATAGCCAGTAGAACATTTTCAAAGACTAGCTGCCTCCTTATGGAAATTGATTTGTTTTTTTTGTTTAGATAAATACCACACTTATGTCGCATGGTTTTGTAATCCACCTTTTAGTACGCAAGATGTACCACATTGTAAATCGCCTTAACAATATCACTAATGGTCGTTACTATGATATGTAATTTTACCAGAACTAGTAACTGTTAACACCAATGAAAATAAAAGGCTCTATGACAAGATACTAGAGATATTTTTAAGGAAATATTGTTTCCTGTATTGAAGTTTTCCCTATATTAACATGCCTCTCTCAACAGAGACTAAACGACAAGGCTAAGAAATAGTCATATCATGGTATGATATGATTGACATGAGGCTTGTCTAAAGGGGCTCAGACGACCCTATAAACCATGGTCTGGAAATAAAACGAAAAAACACAACATTTATACATGAAAAAGCCAGAAAGCGGCTGTGAATAAAAGAGACTGTAAATGATCGACTGGCAGCAAATAAGAAACGGTAAATCGTATGACAGTAGTTAATGGGTCAACCGAAAGCTTATGATAAATGGAATGTGTAGACAAAGTAATCTAGCTACCTAATAGTTATACACGAAGAATATATATACAAGTATTCCGTAAACTAGCTACTTCTTCAATTTTCGTCCTGATATATCAAGTTCAAGCAGTCACCCCATTAGTGCAGCGAGATAAAAGTGTCAAGATAAACACCAGAATAGTAAGGATATTAATGGGGATGAAAATGACTAAGCGTTGAAGATACAACCCGAGGAAACATACATTAGTGGAACAAGAAAATTACTAAGTAATTTATCAACTTATGATCTAAGAGAAAACAATGAGTGAATGCATTTGTGCTACTCAGAACGATTCTGAGACATGTTACTCAATCTTTAACCAGTGAATACGATAATCACGCAAACCCCAACCAGGCATTCTACACTTACCTACATGGTTCAGTCCAATAGTCAATGTCTTCAACTGACCCTATGTCCTGGTCATAACTTTCTTGAAAGCTATTTCTACAACAGCGTGTTGACGTAGTCGGTGGAAGCGCATACGTAACACATGTCCTAATCCCTTCAGTCGTTGAAGATTCAAGATGCCAGACACTGCTATCGGGTTTTCTATGATTATTATGGAACTTTTACAACACATGGAAGCACATAAGAATATCTGCAGAAAGTTGGAGGTCACGAGCTGTCACCAAACCTCATGAATAATGTCGGAAGCTACATTTCAGAAGATTAAATGATTATCTTAATCATCGTCATTATAAATAGTACTAAGTCAAACGTGAGAATTAGATTTTTGGAAGCTCCAGCTAGTTACTTATTAAAGTGTAACATGTTTCTGAAATTTCAATCAAATAACAGGACAGAATGCGCTCAGTGACAATCACTACAACTAGCAGAAAGTAGTTAACTCTATCCAAATACTAGATAGATCAGAAACATAAACAGGTTTTCTACAGTTTGTTGATACTCCAAGCATTAAGTTTTAAATTTTTGAGCAACCTAATAGTGCGTATAAAGAAGCACAGCTAAAACTCACAAATGGTTAGGCAACTAACAGACGGTTTTCATTATCCGTAGCTACAATACCACTGCATAGTAGGTAGTTCTACAAAGATTCAGCTTATTGTAAGCATATAAGGTTCGTGTATTACCTTGGATTACTGAAAGCTTAGACTGCTTTGTGTACTCATTTACCATCATGTTTTTGTTGACAAGATAGAGCCTTGATATACTAGTCCTACAAACTAACATTTATGATACCAAGAAATATACCAGGCAAGAAGAGATCATATTTCTGTAGGTGAACGAATGAAAGGGAAACATTGAGTAATAAGAATGATACAAACATTTGAGAATACAATTTAAATGAAAACACTAAATAGACAAACCCTATATCTCAAAATATTTCTTAGCGTTTAAGAACATCAAAACCGCACTCAGCTCGCCATTAGGTCTCATTATGAATCATATTTTATTTCCAGAATCTCAACTAAGTGGAATTGTTCCGGCATATGGTAATCTGAAAGGGCTACCTCTGGATCTCCAGTGCTGTATGATGGGTTGGTGGTTGCTATACCCGTACTATGCACTTTTAGCATCAACAACCAGGGATCAACAGACGCTTTAGATGTAGGCAGTATTCATATTATGCGGCTATCTCATGTAAAAACTGTTGTTGATGCGTAAACGAGTACTTCCTTCGTTTTACAGTTTTAGCCTAAGTAACAGCTTTGGAGTCACATCAAACCAAAAGATCTTCAACAAGAACCATGATAGTTAATTTTAAGACGGACGATTGAGAGGAATGTTAGGTGATGAAACAAGAGTGAAGCCCTGATTCATCTAAATATCTACAACAGGTAACCCATGTGCACATCACGTTTTTGTATACCTCTACAAGCATAAAAAGCCTACAACGAAATATACCTCGAAGCAATTTCTGGCAATGCAGCAAGCAGAAAACCAGCATCATGAACAGAACACACAGTTCCGCTAGGAGCAGAGTAAAGTAAATACACGCGTTAAAGTTTTGTTGTATCCAAAATATGACAGCTACTAGTTTACTAGTGGACATACTTCGTCACAAAAAATTATTCAAAACGATCTTCCCTGACATACCCCTAGATATTCCGACCCAAGGAATAGCTGAGGAGCTATTATTGTTTTCCCATTTTCTTCGAGAGCCTTGAACATGAATTGTTTGTCAGTCTCTGAGGATGATATATCTTTTACTTCAAAGGGTATCTTAGCCGCACTAAGTATGTTTATAATATATTGTTGTCTACTTTTGACCTACAATAATTTGATAAGATATTTATGAAAAAATTACTTTTGTATTTCCTGAGGTCGATGATATATAAACATCCACAACCATGATTTCGGACTTTCAGTGTTCCGCCAAATGAACAAATACAACCTTGTCATTATCGTAATATGTTGCTATGACACTATTTTTTCCAATACACTTCGTCGAAAAGAAAATACCAAATTTATCTATCAGAATATCTCAGAACCTGCTAACAGAATGTGAAGAAATGTTTTTGGAGATTAAGCAGTGTACTTGTTTCGAACTTCAGTCTTCAGTATTAAGGATAGGAGGTCTATGGACTTATATTAATCATTGCAGTTTGTAATACTGTAGAGGCCCAATCTCTGTTTGAATATAATAACAGAAGATGCTGATATTACGTGTTCTGGTAGAGAATTCCAGTAATTCACTACTCGGTGCGAGAAACGAAACTCCAGACGTAAACGATTTGATCTCGGTTTTTGAACTTTCTTCGAATACCCTCTCAAATTATCAGTCCTAGACGGAAGTAAAAGACAGAACATAGTAATACCAAGATTACCGTTTGGTATGCGATAAGCCAACATTAGATCACCCCGTACTCTACGATAAGATAACGGAAATAAATTAAGGTGTTTCAGTCTGTCTTCATAAGATAGGCCAGCTAGACCTTGTACCATCTTAGTACCTCGTCGTCGGACTTTTTACAGCATCTCTGCTCCATACCTGAAACAAGGAGTCGCTGCTTTAATCCCATATTCTAAATGTGGTCGCACACAAATCGGGCATAATAATCTAAACATCTCATCATCTAAATACTGAAAAGACCTACGAATAAACCATAATACCCTATAGCCTTTCTCAGCAGCAGCCTCACAGTGACTAGTGGTTTTGAAATCACTGCTTAATATGACTCCTAAGTCTTTATGGCTTTTTACTTTGGGTAGCACGAATTCACATATTGTGTAGTGATACGATTCATCATATTTATTTGCATCACTGCACTCTTATCAGGATTCACATCTAGTGACCACCTGTCCAACCATCCCTCTTAACCATGATCTTAAAAACTTAATATGACTGAAATGAGTCCGTTCAAACGGTTCAAATGCTTTTGGATGGAAGAGAAGAAGCTTTCGCCTAACGAGCTTTCGTATCTAGTGGCGGTAGATTACCAATACCTCTAGGCAGGAACTTAGGTATTAGAGTGTCAAATAAATCCCCAAAATAAGTAGTTCTATAAGTTTTCGACATCGGATGTTGATGACATTAGTTTTATTGGACTCACATAGCTGAAGGTGCTCGGTCATGCATCCGCACCATATCACGAGTGGGAACGCCGTGCTTAGCAATCCCTGCAATCGCCAGCCAGTTGTGTACATTTTTTGTTTTCCCAAAAAAAATCCAAAACTTTCATTGTGTGAAATATGTTTTGATATCGCATGTAAGTCGATTTCGTTGCACGTTCCGGTTCGTCAAGCACGTACGTGTGTATTTCGATATACACCTTCAATTTTGTTTTTTCTCCTAGACGGCTTGAAATGATAAAGTCACGTCGAAAAACACGATGAATAGGAGTATTCATTGTGTAATTTCGTTCATTGTTGTATTGTGCCACATGACCTCCCATATTATGGAAAGACAACCAGAGGCTGCTGAACATAGCAAGCTGTCAGAAAGTGTATATCCACTGTGGGCTCTTTGGGATTCAACTTCTAGCCGGCCACGTATTATGGTCATCACCACCTCACTATGAGAGGAGTAAACTGAAGCAGTAAGAAAATCCTCGAAACACTTGGTTTCGTTAATTTCCCACATCGATGTGCACCTCATCAGCTTCACTGGACACTGGGCTCTGACTCAATATTTTGACCAGGTTGGTATACACTTATTGTAAAGGTGTTACGTGTAAATGCGTTGTGAGAAACCGAATAAATGTGGTCTCTTTAACCTATTTCGATGGAGCAAAGAGGATTTTAGTTGAAGATTGTGTATCCCTATTGTTCTAAAGTCAGCAAATATCCAGATAAGTGCTTAATTAGAAATGATCCTGAGAGTTCAGCTGGAGACCTTAAATAGTAAATCAAGATGAAGAGAGTCATTATCCAGTCTTTCTAGAAATAACATTTACCAAGCAGCGTGTCAATTAAAAGTATCATGTATGGACTGTGATTAGAATTGGTGGAAAAACAGTTTTCTCTTTGAAATACCATGTAAAGTGTGTATCTGCGGCTACAGTTTGTTTAAATACATCTTTTATTATTTATCTTTATTTGCCCTCATTTTCGTCTTTGAAGGTTTCGAGGAAATGATAACTTCAATTGTTCTATTATTCATTTTTGGAATTTTCAAAGAATGTATGTTGCTTATGACCTAATTTTTAAAGTATTATCCATGGAGTGCTATGTGTGCAGGAATCAGGAAGGAAATAAAGATAAGTGCATCAAAACTACAATGCAATGTCTAGAAGATGAACACTCTTGTATAACCAATATTTCATATACAAGTAAGCTGATTGCATTTTAATTTTATTAGCATTAAAGATAGGTCTCTTATTTTCCACTTAAATGGTGTTATGGGTTTTTAGCACTAATAATACTGGCCGAGATGAGAGCTTGTTGCTGCTGACCTGTAATACCGAAATTATTTCAACTCATATTCCGTGCAATTTCTTTTGTTAGAAATGCTGAAGATATATAAGGTGTTGGGATCTCATCTTCCCTGAAGGTTGCTCTCTTGGAAGACCTACTAACTCCTCTAAAATGTGAGCTTGGAACTTATTTCCAAAGTCATGAAGTCTTTAAATATGGGCAAAACTCTGCATAGTTTTCTAAACGCGTAGACAACACTTACTGGTAATCACAAATCCCGTCAAATTTTAGTGATATGATCTTTTTGATTAATTTGTTGGACACTAAATTTTGTCCTCTCTTCATGAACTAAGGTGCTTATGTGTATCACTTTCTACCTAAAATTTGCAACACAGTTTGTTATTGTTTTAGTTGTGAGTCACAATAATCTTAATTGACAGTAAACTAGATGTTTGTGCCAATGTCATAATTGAACTAAGTATCTTGACACTTTTCATGTATATTAAGTTTGAAAACTGGGATGGCATGGAACATGAATCAATGATCTTTTTTTTGTATAAGACTAGCCTTCATCTGATTGATTATTTGATATTTGACTTTTTACTATTCTTCCCAAGTACTTGGTTACTTGAACGCGGACTACTATGTGTCTGCTTAGTGATTGAGTCTCGGAGATCATAAGTTACAACTACGAATAAAACAAATACTAGCATACCTATCTATTGAGCAACATAACTGCAAGTAAAAAAACAGTCATAAAAATGTTGATGGAGAGAAGTGAATGACGTAGGAAAAATGTACGAGGAAATTAGGAGGATGTTGCTTCTTGAGCTCTATATTGCCCGTTGATGTCATAATATGAGATTCTACCAAAAGTTTTCACTTTTCTGATTCTTACTTTGTTACCTGATATAGTGTACTAAGAAATAGATGTAGACATCTTAATTCAACTTGATGGATATATAGTGTTTCCAAAATCAAATTATTGTTCCCTACATTGTAGTACTGATAGTTCTTGGTAACAGGCTTTTCTTCATGCCTAATTTTCACCTCAAGATCTACTTATAATTATATAATTTTTCAATCAGAGCTAATCTGTTCCACAGATAATTGTGAATCCTCTTTTAACTGGTCTACCTGTATGTCCTTATGATAAATCAGCAATCACATAAACTAGACAGATCTCAAAAATTTCGAAAGTTGTTTCATATTACAGATATTATCTAGTAATGTGAAAATTCTCTTATGCTACGATGATCATATTCAGGCCTTTCCAAAAAATCAAGGCACTGAAATGTTTGCTTACATGTAAAACCAACCATTTAGAAAATATCACCGACTAATCATCAGGTTTATTGAGACGAATCATAGTCTACCAGTAGGCCAGAAAACATTCTTTATAAGCGTATACCATTTACGAATCTCACAAAATTTAAAAATGTCGAGATATCGTTCAATAAAAAATCAAAGTTTTGAACGCGTAAACATACAAACACTACTATCATAATAAGACCTGATATCTGTACATATTGCTTTAGCCTAACAATTAGTTCAAGTGTGTGTTATTTCCTTCCAGTTGGATCAAAACAAACTATTTAAAAAAAACTAAAATACTAGTGTAAATAGTATTTTGATTTCAAACCTAATTTACATGCAGGCAAAAAACAATTGGCGATAAGCTGAACCATGATTAATTATAAATCACTTGAGAGTTGATGTAAGCCACTTCATAAGTTGATTACTAAAGATGTTACATTTAGTGAATAACCTATTGCGTGATATTTTTAAGTTTACTACACCGTTCACATCTTATCCTCATGTTTTCAAGTAATGCTGAAGCATTTCACGCGTAGGCTTAAGTTTTTATGGTTAAAATAACAACGGTTTGTCCTTTAAATGTATAAATAAATTTTAAAGCTATGTCTAACATGTTGCTTTTGTTAATTTTAAGTATGAGCAATTGTGATCAATCTAAAGAAATCATTCATCTACAGTTTTTGTTCTTAAAATACCCTGTTTATTATCTTTATTGTTACCTAATGTAACAATTATTATAACATAACTTTAAACGTAAAGTATTAATGAAGTTCAGTCATATTTCTTGTATTTGTTCGATATGCTTGTTGCACATGTTAACTTCTGTCATTTAACTTATAGTCAACTTACATTGAACTCATCCACCGGCTTCTTAAACATGAGCCACACTCTTGATGTGATGGGCTGATAATATTACTCAACTACCCAAACAGAATTGGAGCAGAATTCAAACTTGGGGCTTTTTGGCCAAATACCTTAACCACTAAACCCCACAGCTCCGTCGTTTTAGTTTGCAGATGTGTTACAACACTGCTTGTCTCGACGCGCAATGAATAGTAGTAGGTTATTGAAAAGCTAGATCTAATATAATTCAATGAAATTATGACAGTTGTCCCTACTTCTTTGGATGTATCTGTATCAACCAGTTGACATCCGTGAGATAACCATGGCTCAACACTG